AACACTGCAGCACTGTCGCGAACACATAGTCCGGCAAATTAGAGTAATTGTGTAAATGCAATTTTACAGTCTATGGAACAATTTGCTTTTAATCCGGGCTACTAATTCACCAACCGCCTAAAGCCTGAAAGAGGGGATCTCCTCACGGCTAGTTTGTGGATGTTACGAGAACGAAGTCGCATACATTGTCACGAATACCACAAACGTCACGACGCCCTTCGCCCAACTCTCTCTACCTCGCCAACACCCCTTACATATCGATCGTCAGCTATTTTCAGATTCAGGAACAACATTCGAACGTTAATTGCTCCATTTCACTCGCTACTCATTCTACCACAGAACAGCGCGTGCAATCGTAGGACAGTCAGAGAGCACATGCCGCAATAATCGTAGTGCACGCATAGTTTAAGAACTCTCCGACGCAAATTACCCACGTTATTGAGCGGTTTGTGTGAACAATGCGACAACGAGAGAATAGAGGACATATTTGGTATCCGACCAATTAATTCCGATTAGTAGTCGAGCTACACAGAATATGAAATATCAGAATGTAGAGCGCAACAGTTATCGGATACCAGAGAGAGAGAGAGAGAGGAAACAAATGTTTGGGAATGGTATTGAATGTAAATAATCTAGAAATTACTATGTCGCGCAGGATGTATGGTGCAAAAGTATACAAAAATAAAAGACCTGCATATTTTAATACATTTACTACGTGTGATAATGCGAATAACAAATATGTTTTCAGTTACAATGTTTTTTTAATCTGTTGTTCATTTGAAGGCAAACCGCATAAATTCTGATTTCCATTTTACTAACGTAATAATCCAAAGTAATTGTTACCAATGGCGGTGCGGCTTGGTTGCAATTTATACAGCGCGACGTTGTTTAAATATGTATACGCGTGTATAAAAGGTAAAAAGGTCTCAGCATTCGCATAATTTCGCACTTAATCTCGCAGTTGCCTACCACGATTGCGACAATGAAACTATTTATGACGTCGATTATTATTTTCTAACACTTCAGGGAAATCGTTCTTTCATATCAAGTTTTCACGTAATTTTCTTTTTCCGCGCGACATTTCAACAACAATTCGTTTTTACGCGCGTGTTAACGACATATAGTGCACCCCGATTGGGGTCACATTAGAACGAATCATGCAATAAAGCGCATTTCGTGAGCAAACAATGCGAGTGAACGTGTTTACTTGAGACTATCGCGAAGTATCGTGTTGTAAGTGAAAACAATCTCAATTCTAACGTCGTACATATTGTTTATTTATATATACGTTATTGCAAATCATTCGGCACTCAACAAAGATAAAGAGATAAAGAGCACAAAAATGTATCGCGTGCCCGCGGAAAATAGTCTTTTGAAATATAATAATATCAATTACTGTTATCGTATATCAGCTATTATCCCATCTGAAGAAGAGAATACAGCTGTTTCTATTTTTCCTGTCCGGAAATAATATTCCACGTTACAATACCCAAAGAGCTTACATCGTAGATAACACGAATAATAGAAAGAACAAGGTTCCTCGGCGCAATTAAGTAAATGATATCCCGCCGTTAGACAAAGGAAAATTAAACGGATTGCACAATGTACGTTTTCAGGTAGAATAGTGATATCAAATTAAAACAATGACGGTAAAGATGACCGTCATAAATAAGTGTTGTTTTACAAGGGAGTTGTCCGACGAAATAATTTTTCCGCTAGACGATTTTTCGCCGGCAATTTTATTCAATGGGAGTCGATTGAACGACAAATTCGGAAGGATAATATTAATCGCGTGGAATAATTATCTGAGGGTACACGAAACGCAATCCTATCCGACATCTTAATCGAGACGATCGATGCGATGTCGACTACGGTCCGATTTTATAATTAAATTCCTTTGGGAAATTCAACGGCTCTCGTAATCAGCACGTTCTCTCCCGCGCCCTCCTGATGCGAACGTGCTTCTCGATCCATATCTCCTTTTTTATCGATATCCCGAACGAGACGGATGAAATTTCACGGATTTCATCCGCCGTACATTCACATTTCCCGAGTTTTTTTCGCCCACGTGTAGACCGAGCGTTTCCGTTCCGGCATAGAGCGGACAAATCGCGCGATAATTCATACCCTCGCGTTCTCATTGCCGCTCCGTCGCGCAAGCAGCGTTTGATTCGAACTTAAAGAATGATCTCGATCTTGTAATGTATTTTTCAGATCGAGATGGCATCACAATGGAGGATTTCGTCAATATAAGGACACGTCGTACGAAGAGCCTAAAGGAATGCAGAATTTTGTGAGGGGGACACGTTAATATACCAGGTACACTCCGTCGTGCTTGAAATAGACGTAACGACGAATTTTTACCCTCCACGAGAATGTCCGACTTATGAGTGGCATTTTGCCGACGTTGGAAGAAGGACTTATCTTTCCCGTCTCATCGACAACAATTCTTAGTAGAAACTTTCTGTCAGAAAGTTCAAAGAATAGACTTTCCTCCAAGTTTTACAGATTATATATCTCGGGATCAGTTACGTTGTTCTTGAGGAATTTTCATGTCGATCCTGCGAGCGCGGCACGAACTTTCTTCCGGCACGTTCTGGGAACTTTCTGGGAAAGCGCAGCGCGATCCACCTCCCGCCTCTCATCACTTTTCTTTATCGTTTAAAGTGCTCTCGGCTATAAACGGACAATTTTATTCAACCAACACGATAATCGCGTTGAGATACAAAACGTTCAATTAAAAAATTAAGAAGATCGCTCGAAGCATTCGCGTAATAACGAAGTGAAATTCTCAAATCGTTCTAATAGCACCGGGGAAGGATTGCGAGTCGTGTTGCAGGAGTGAAGAAAAAAAACGCGCGAATCAGATGTATTTGAAAATTCTAGGCGCGTCGGACGACAGAAACGATGACTAACGTAATATAACGGCGTACCAAGCGAGAACTCCGTGAACTCTCTTAAATGAAGATTTAGTTCCAGGTAACGTCAATGCTTAATTGAGTACGCGAAGCTAACGAAAGGTGTGTCCTCAACATCGTACGTAATCCGGCGAGAAGTTGATGATAACACGAATTTCCTGTAGGAAGATTTTATTAGCGACGCGATGCGAAAGCTCTCGTCCACGTAATCGACCATAAAGCATACAAAATCGTAAAAAATCGACCTGGAACGTAACTTTTCCATTTGTGTAAGACGTGATAAGAAAGCTTAGCTGAGCTAATTGTACGATGCGTGATACAATGGAAAGAACGCTGAGTAATGAACAAGCAAAGTGAGAAATGACAGAAATAATCTTGGCAAAATCTTGGTCCTTTTAAAAGTTTTCATCATATGACGGACCAGGCGGCACTTTCCTTTCAGGACAAAACGCGAGACAACGAATATACTCGCGAATTCCAGAGACAGTTTTCTCGATGCTCGGTCGAGAAATTAATATGCAAAAACTATTTCATCGTAAACCGACGAGCAAACATTTCACGGCGAAACATCAACTTTAGTGATCGTTAAACGGCACACAATGTTGGAGCAATGCCGAAAAGATTAAACACAAAACCTCCTCTTATAGACCAGAGAACCATCAGTCTTTTCCTTTAACCGAGAGATTAAAGTAATCATTATCGATTTTTAATCTCGTCTCTGATTATGCAAAAGGAGTTAAGCCGATTCGAAAATTCGCTGCAGTAACGACTACGTTTTCAAAAAAAGAACAATTATATTTGAGAATTCGAATATCGACGGAAAAATGAAACACAAAACTCCTATTGTAGACCAGAAAACCATCAGTCTTCTCCTTTAACTGAGAGATTAGAATGATCATCATCGATTCCTGATCTTGTCTCTGATTGTGCAAAAAGAAACAAATCGATACGGAAATTCGCTGTAGTAACGACTATCTCCAGAAGAGAACAGTTATATCGAGGTTTCGAATATCGATGAAAAAAAAAAACGCACTCATCTACAGTGAATAAGCCGCGAGGACAATGGAATCTCATTCGGTGGCAGCCGATCGGCGGTTTGGGAAACGATCGGATTTTGCGGAGAGCGCCCGTGCATGAAACGTAAGTGGAAGCGGGTTCGGACGTCGAGTCGAGGGCTATCCGTCGGCTGTGTCACAACGTTACTCCACGATTTAATCTGTGAAGGTACATAGTAATTGTGCCAATATTATTGACGGACATGCCAACAAAACCGCGGCGGAAGTAACGAAATGTCTTGTCGCGTGAAAGTACATCAGTACGTAGTCTGTTAAGTGATCGAAAGGTACGTCATACAGGAAGTGGTTCGATAAGGGGATCAAATTACGATTTCTTTCAATCAAGCGACTATGACTCCTCCCCGCGAACAATTACAAAGAGCGCGTGTTCATCCGTAATATAGATTCGTCCCATGCGTCGCTGCGATTTTCCCAATTAAGATCGACCGGACGGAAAAAAGTGCGATTTGCCGATGCGCGATTCAACGCGATGTGATACGCCAGGATTAAAAGCTCGTGTTTCGGCGCCGGCAGTTGACGCACTCTCACGAAAGATCGATCCTGATTGAGAGAATTGGTGAGCGCCAGGCGAGCGTGAAGCGGTATTTACGAGCAGTGACAGCGGCGCGAATACGACCGATGGATGTTCCTCGGCTCTACGATTTAGAAACTTACCTCGCGACGACGAAAAGAGAATGCAAAGAACTTGAAAATTGCCACGATGCCTCGACTGTGACGTGCCCTTCCATCACACGGGAACAAATACGACGGAAGTCTCGTACGACGGCGTTACGTCAGAGTTATGAAAGCTCGCCCGACTTGGTCGGCTGGTATGCGCGGTTGACAGGAATGTGTAAGTTACTTGCCTTAAAAGACAACTGCGCCGGTTTCTACCTGTATCAAATTTCTATCCCTTAAATA